CTCTCTCATATCTAGTGACATCTGTGACAAACTGTACCATTCAGAGTGGGCTTTTATTGTGGGCAGCCTGAGGCACACCTAGGCACTTATCATGGTGTCTAATCAGGACTATCTTGGCAAAGGAGAAATGCTCACTGTCAAAGATTTAGACTGGTTTGTGAAAAATATTTGAGGGAAATTGTTATATTGTGTATGTGGAAAGTTTTAGATCTCTGGGTTCATCTCATTAAAAATGGGAGAAAACCAAAAGTGTTGCATTTATATTTTTGTTGAGTGTAGTGTCTCTTCTCTGTCTGCAGCGTTCGACTAAGCTGCTGCTGTCCGCTTTGCATTATATCGCTATAATGAGGCAGACTAAAGATGGTTCTGCTAGTTTATCAAGCTCTGTTTAGTTTGTGTTGTTGTTCGTTTTGCTTTTTGAACACACCTCTCTCAGGATGGCCAATAAGTTTTTTCTACATTTTAAATTATTTAATTTAGAAGGGAAATCTACATGTTATGCAGTATATGCTTAAATTGTTTAGTATTTTTATCACTTTTATAGTGCAAAAGTCTTGCATCATTCTTAATTTTGTGATTCTTTTGCTTTCAAAGTGTCAGTTTCTCTGAAAGTTGTCCCTAAATATCTTGTTATTCCGTTTTTTGGCTCTTGCAGAGTTTTTAACTTGGGCAGTTGCAGTTTTTCTTTATCTTATTTTCAATCATTTAGCTAATTAAGGTTCAAACTTCAGCAAATAGTAGTGCTTTACTGACATTTAACAGATAAGGTAGCCAGGGGTTAAAGTTTAATTAGATCTTAGGTACTTTTCACCAAGCAGTCTGGAAAAAAAACATTGTTTGTTCCAGTTTATTTAGCTCACAAAGTTAAGTTCAAGTTAATAGTTTTAGAATTAAATTTGCACCAATAAAAAACTAAAAACTTGCAATCAGATCACTAAAAGCTATACTTGTTTACATGACCAAAACATCGTAGTTCTATGCTCTTCTTAATAACTTTCAACATTTTTAGGCTTGCAGTGCAAAGGATTCTAAGATCTGCAAAGCGTTAACAGAGCCGATCCTGCAGAAGAATTTGAGATGCAGAAACAGGATTCTCTTTGTTTTCCTTTCTCATCTGAAATCTCATGTAAGATTCAATGGTATCTTTATGAAAGGCTGCAAAGTAACAAATTCCACAAAGATCCAATTTAGATGAAACATTTTAGAATATTTCTGTCCAGACCAGACACGGTCTCGTTTCATGTTAAAGTGGGAAACATCTGATTCAGATTTAGCTTAGAAGGAAGGTAGACTAACATAGATATGGAGCCAAGTTTTCAAGAACAACTCTTATGAATTCTTCAATAAACATTTTTAATTGCAAAGTTACTATCTATATTTATGTCTTTCTTAGTCTTTGCCAAAGAAAATGTGGAGAGAGCAAATCATTATGAGGCTCCTTCATGTTTTTTTTTGTCTCATATTTATTTATATGCTTTGAAATTGTCTATATTTTATCACATTAGGACCACAAAATTCGGTGTATGACTGTGCAGTCTATGGTTTGGACCAAAACAAAGTGATTGTGAAGTAAAATAAAATGATATATGTATTTCATAGGTTTTTACAAAGAAAAAACATTCAAGAGGTGTAGCATGAGCCTATTGTTTACGTGCCACATTATTTATTTTGTTTGCTCTAGGTCTGAATGTTAATTCTAATGCATGAATATGCTTTTATTCAAACGCCATGTCATTGCCCTGCACTGCCCTCCACTCAGTCCTTGTTTAAAAGAAGCCTCCATCCTCCACAGTGGGAGGTGGAATACTCATGGTAAGGTGCAGCTTTTATGCCATACAACAGTATTTTCTTTAAAGGACCAGAGCACTTTCTTCTACATGTTTAGCTGAACATTTCCATTCCATAAAGTGCAGCAGTGATCGGTTGCCTTTCCCAAATTTCTTTCTGATTAATGGTCTGCTTTCCTAGAAATATCTTGAAGATAGCAAAACTCTTGGTAGGCAAGCAGTTTTGCCATACTATCACCATTTTAAAAGATGTATTGAACAGTGTTTTGTGAGATATTCAAAGCTCAGAATGTTTTTTTTCTGCTTTAAACTTCTCCACAAATTCATCCCTGATCTGTTTCTTGTGTTTCGTGTGTGTCTTCTACAGAGGTAAATTTGGGCCAAAAAGTTTATTTTACAGAAATAAATTAAAACAGGAGAAAAAAGCATTTACACCTAAAAAAAAAAAAAAAAAAAAAAAAAAAAAGAAAGAAAAAATACAACAGTAACCAAAATAATAGATTTTTGAGCTGCTAGTCATGACCTTATGGCCCCGATTATCCTCCATCGTTTGTTCAATTAATTTATCTGTATGAAACACCCAAGACATCAAAACTGCTCACAACTGGTATCACAGTAAAGATCATGTTGGATATATTGTCCAGCTCTACATATTTGTGGTCACACATTTCCAACCAGAGACCCCGGCCTTGAGCAGCCGCTGCAGGGACATTTATGACACCAATCAGATCAACAAATGACGTGTCACCAAGAGAAGGAGATGAGTTTAAAGGATGATTCACTCTCCATCCTCTCCCAGGGTAACAAGGTAATGAAATGTTGTGGAAGAAATGTGGAGAGGACAGACGGCTGTAAGAGGGAACAGAGGATGAGGCGGTGAGGAGTGATGGAGAGAGAAAAAAGAAATGTGTGTAGGCCATGCGTGTGTGTCTCGTGTCAACTTGATAAATGTGGTGCAGGAGCCATTGTGGTGGTGAGGGAGCAGGAGGCCGCCAGATAACAGCAGAGTGAGGCCTGAATACAGACACACGAACATCATCTTTAATTACCATCCAATGACTTTATTCTGTCTCTGCAAGCGACTGTGTGATGTCTCCTCCTGCTCACCGAGAAAAAGTGGCTTCTACAGGTCAATCAGCCAGGTTTCCTTACATGAAAAGCTTCTAACCAATCTGTCTGTATAATTTGATTAAACTGACTCTGTAAAGTGCCTCCAGACAACATGTGTTTTGATTTATATAAAAAAAATTCTTAATTTTTAATCAGTTACATCATTGCACTCTACAGATGGCAACACGGTTTGTTCAAAATACAGCTATCAAAACCATGTTAACATACATTATCATTAAAGATTTGCTTATTTGTCTAGAAATGTGAGACAAATGGAGCAGATATGCAGTTGGAACATTATGCACGCTAGTATGGCGCCCTCTAGTGGTTGGAATTGTCTGTTTGCATAATTCCAAGCAGACCTGGAATATAGAGTATAATATACCAGACATCTATCTTCATTTGATCTATAGCAGAAAAAAGGTAAAACCACAAAGGCTTCTGTGTTCTTTCTACATTAGTATCGGGATTATTACAAATGTTCGGTGCAGTTATTGTATTATCTACAAAAAACTATTATTAATTCATCTTTTTTTTAAAACTTCATTAAAAATATGTTTAGCTTTTCTGTACCTTTAACCTTTATTGTTACAGTAAGTCACAATAAGTAGGTAAGTAAAAAAATTCCAAAAAAAAGTTGGAAAATAATTCCAACTTTATTCTATATCTTAATTTTTAACATTGCCTGATTTTAATTCTGATTTTCTGACATTTCTCACTTAAATGACGGTGGAAAATACATATATACATTGAGTTTAGGGCTGAAACGATCCTTTAGATGTCAGAGCGACCCACTTAGAGCAGTTATTATGCCAAGAATGTAAAATTCTTTTAGCATTTTTCATTTAAGATGAAAAAATCTCTTTCCAGAACTCCTCATGTGGAAAACTTTTAGTTTCACCTGGTTTCATTTCATAATTCTTCTTTAAGGAACCTTCAACTTTCTGATTATTAATCGAAAAAATAATCAACAGATGAATCGATTTGCTAAATAATGGTCAGTTGCAGCCATGAATGACTTTTAGTTTTTCCTCTAGGCCTATTAATCTGTGCATTTCAAAGGTGCTTATATATTTTAATCTCATTTTTTTAACTTTATTTTTATTCTATATTTCATAACTTTTAAATAGGAGACTTACTTTTTTTTAACCAGTTTTGATTTATAATATTCTAAAAATGTTTACTTTCCTTGCAGTCTGAATTGTGACTTTATTAACAATAAAAGGTATTTTAATGCAGAAATATTACATATTAAAAATATTGGGCATTCATTTAAACTTTTTCTGGACACTTGAATTGGTGTTGATGATGACAGTTTGGCCTTAATTAAATACTAAATGAAAAATGTGGGGGGGGGGGAAGATGAGAAATGTGAGTAAATATATTTGAGAAGCCCTCACTTCCACATAACTTTCTGTGGAAGTGAGGGCCAAATGTCATACATAATCAAAATTATGTATGACATTTGACCCTGTAATGATGTTTTACATAGAAATTTAACATAACAACCAATTCTTGTGTATTCTGTGATTCAGATGTTGAAACAGCAGAACATCTTTTTTTTCAGTGCAATATCATAAATATTTTTTAGTAGAATTTTCAAAATTAGATCTTACGGAAGACTTCTTTACCACTTTTGTATTTTGATATAAAAAAAAAAAAAAATTTAACGGAGGATAGAGAATCAAACTATGTTAATAACAATTTTTCATACATAGGTGTCGATTTCAAAAAATTACCCCATCTCTCAATATTTTTTATAAGTGAGATACTTTTATTCAAAGAAGTACTAACCTATTGTAAAAACCCTAAAGCCCAATCAATGATGCAATATATTGAGAATTTACTTTAAAATTCAAGAGTCCTGTTTTTATTTTATTTTTTTATTTTATTACTTTGTTCTATGATCTGGTATTTTTGTTTCTCTGTATGATTCTATTTGTTAATGAGATATTCAATTTACAACTTTGTATAACTGTTTTGATATGCCTTGTAATAGTTTGATTGTTCAATTAAAAAAAATAATAAAAAAAAATAAAACAAAAAAAAAAATTAAAAAAAATTGAGAAGCCCTCGGTTCCGCGGTGAGACGGAAGTGTTTGAGGAGGAGAGAAAACGGAGCAATCGAGCGGCTGAATCCGGAGAAGCAGAGCCAACCACCGCTAACGGCGCTCAACTCGTCTGGACTACCCGGGCTAACTTTAGCTACATGTGCTGAGGTCGATCCCGACTGCAACGATGGGAGGGAGGACGAACGTCATATCCCGCTGGACGTGGGAGGAACGTTGGTCGTTTGGTGCATGGCGCGTGTTTTGAAGCTGCTCTGCTTGTGGAGAAATGTCCTGGGCCGTGAGTAGTGAGGAAACAGGAAGCGATTCTTGTGGGATGGAAGAGGGAAATAGTGACAATGAAGGTTGGAAGATAGCAGCATCAAAAAATGAGAAAAAGCGGAAAAAACAGAGATCAGTTAAAGGGGAATCTAGTTCAGAACAATCCAGTGATGATCAATCCATACATTCCACAGCACAACAAAATGAATTCAAAGTCATATTCAAAGTCGTTAATCAGGCAGACTCTTTTACAAACTGGAATCCGGTTCACTTAACAAAAACCATCAATAAACTTGTTGGAGAAGTCAGAGGTGCCAGAATTCTGTACAGTGGAGACCTGCTAATTAACTGCAGAGACAGCGCCCAGCAAGGCAAAGCAATACGTATTAACAAAATTGACGGGATAAGAGTTCAGTGCAGCCTAATGGAGAACAAAAAGATCAGCAGGGGAGTCATTGGAGGAGTTCCTCTGAAAATTTCTGAAAAAGAGATTCTGGAAAACATAAGCGGTGCAAAAGTAAAAGAAGTAAAACGGTTAAAAACAACAAGAAACGGAGAAAGATCTGACAGTTTATCTGTACTAATTAAATTCGAGGAAGAGCAATTACCAAGCAAAGTATTCATCGGTTACATCAGTTACAATGTCAAAATCTACAATCCACCACCATTGAGATGTTTCAAATGTCAAAAATTCGGACACATTGCAGCAGTTTGTAAAGGGAAACAGAGGTGTGGAAGGTGTGCAGGAGAACATGAATATGGTAAATGTGGAAAAGAAGCTAAAATAAAATGCTGTAATTGTGGTGGAGAACATACTGCTGCTTATCGCGGCTGTGAAGCAAGCAAAAGGTCTGAAGAAATAAAAAAAATGAAATTTGAGCTTGGAATAACTTATGCTGAAGCTGCAAAAAGGATCCCATCTCAGTCAGAAAAACCCAAACCTACAGTTCAACACACGGCAAATTTCAAACCTCTAGAGAAATCTCCAAAAATTGATGAAGACTCACTAATTGTTAAAAAGACAAATTTTGTTCTTTTCATGGTGGAAGTGATTAATTGTACTGCTCAGACGACAAAAAAAACAGAAAAAATCAAAATAATAGTGAAGGCTGCAGAAAAATATCTGGATGTTAAAGATATGAACTGGGAGATGGTTGGAAGCATGATGGAAAGACCAATGGGACCATCAGAAACTGGCAGAGGTACGATGACCTAGAGTAAATTAAAATTATACGGGCAAATGTAATTTAGTATAATTTAGTATTATGTGGGTTTAAGTTACACAGGTTATTTTATTGTATTTTTTTTTTTTTTTTTTTTTTTTTTTTGGGGGGGGTGAATCGTTTCCTGTTTCCTTGCTTTACTCCATATCAGTTGGTGGCGGTAATGCACATTTCACAAGTTTGCCAACCGCCATAAAATCTCATAAGAAGAAGAAGAAGAAGAAGACTGCAACGATGCCCACGGTTACTTTACCGCCGAAGGAGAACGCTCTCTTTAAGAGGATTCTGGTGAGTTAGTCGTTAAAGAGCTACTCTCTCGGCTGTAGCCGGTTTTTCTGCTCCAACCGCAGCTGACAGCCGCTTCAGTTTGATAGCAAAATTGTATCATTGAATGAGTTAGCTAGCCAGCTAGCCTGGGCCTCAATATGCGCTGTCACTGCTCCGCGTTAACGGCTAGCACTGCTATTGTCGGGGCTTCGAAAAAAAAGTGTTATTCGTATTAAACTATAATTTTATTTCAGTTAAGGGCGTAAATTACTCAATGTTGACAGTCGGTTAGAGGCAGGCCCCGCCATTTGTCACAACAAACATACTTCATTTAAGCTAACTCCCTAGCCACATGTTAGCTTTCAAGTTAGCTTCCACCTTGTAATTTAAAACACCTAATTTATATATATTCTTACAGTTTTACTCAGAATAATATTCAGATACCAGACGTTTTCTATTACGTGTGTTGCATTGTGAACTGGGACTACATTAAAGCTTATAAACGTTAGGGTGTACAATCGGCTAATGCTGCTCAGCCTCGCTAGCTTGAGTAAGCGGCGTGCGGGTAGATGTTTAAAGTAATTTCTGCAGCTACTGGCTAACATTAGATCGGTTCAGATAGGTGTTACGGGTTTGTCAGAGGTGAAGGCGCTCCAATGAGAGGTGTGACGGTATCATGGTATTTGTAACGGATCTGTTTGTAGCCTGGCTGTGAACTTGTAGTCTTGCATGCTGACAAGTGGAGTTCAAAGAAACTACCATGGGGTCCAGTTTCGGCACATTTGATTTCCTACGTCTACTATGCTTTGTGTATTCCTGTATCACTGCTGATGCACGCACTGTAGCGACACACTTTCAAGTAGCCAATATGGGCAGGTAAAGCACTATTATCCGGTTCACTTAAATGTGATTGTTTTTAAGAGCCGGTGGCTCTGCTGGAAGCTAGAGGATGTTGACCCGATTATTGGGCTGCATTGGAAACGCTGTGACCTGGACACGAATCTACTAAGCTGGTGCAAATCACATTGTTCTGTTGACTCAAAGAAAAAAAAGGTTTGGATCAAAATCGGATCAGAGCTTTATTTTACTAATATGATCCTTTAAAAATGATAGATTTTAGACAACTGGCTGTAGTAAATCAAATACTCATGCTTTATTGTAATTTCCAAGTATATTTGTCTCTCTGGAAGCTTCTATGTGTTACCATTATATCTCTTTGTACTTACCTTTTGTTACACATTTTGTTCTTGTAAAATAGCATATCAGTAGGGCGAGATGATAGGACCAAAATAATAACTGGTTTTCTAAATTTGGTCTGCACTATAAAATTCAGATCAATTAATATTAATGACTTTATAAGGTTTCAGAGAAACTGCCAAGGATGTCCACTATAATGCCAAATGTATCATATTTGATACATACACTTTCTGAAATGTTTTGCATCTGACACCTTTTGCATAATTTAATGGTAAAAACTTAGCTTAAAATCCTATTGTACACAATCAGATATACCTGATAACAGAGGGCAGAAGACTACACAAAAAATAATCTTCACTTATCGCATAGTAATAAATTATTAATATCAAATGTATTTCTGTTTTTTTTCTTTTTACATATTTAGTTACAAGGCCAAATAAGGACTTCAAACCAAAAAAAAGTTATTTTCTGTTTTGTCTTATTCTTGGATCAGGCTTTAAAGGGTTAAAATAGTTTTGCCAAGGCTAGATAACTTCTCCAATATAACAGTGTAAAAATATGTAATACAAAAAAGACTTGTATAAAGCAGTTTTATGTAGAGCTTTGACACAACAAATAACATATTTAACTAGGTGATTATCTCTCCTTCCTCATATTTCTTATTCAGTGGGTTCTCACTTTCCCTGTCACTGACTCCTTTATTCTTTGTTGATCAACTTTCATTTCTCCAAAAAGACAAACTAACCTAAACCTGAAAGATTGTTTCAAAATTCACTGTAATGTATTAGCAAAACAACTAGTGGCTTTAAAAGTTTAAATTCTAAAACGCGTAATTTTGCACGTACACTTGTTGATACTGAAGGCAACACTTTACAGGTAGTTTGTCTATTTCTGTTCTGTTTTTTAATCATCTTGATGTTTCTCCCCTTCTCTCTTACTCCCCCTTTTCTAGCCTTGACTTATGTTCTGTTTCTTATCTTTAAAAAATAAAACAGATCTCAGACATGTTTCCTTCAACCTGGGCTTAGTCAAACTTTACAGCACTAGTAAAGGGTTGGTTATACTCCCCGCATCAGTGTGTCGCACTGAGCTTGTCGCAGATATTTTTGATTTATGCCCAATTTTGAAGCGTGGTCTGCGCTATGTTATTCCACGCCACAACGCAAGAGGGACAATCAGGAACTAGCTTTCTCGCGCACCTCTCTCTTCTAGCTGGTCAAACTTCACAAATTATTTAACACAATGGTGGTCATACAAACAAACCAAGCCGATAAGGTACCAAACACGAAATGCGCATAATGTAGAGCGGATTTAGATTTGGCCAATCAGATGCCTACTGTCAACGGTCACCTACAATCTTGGAGAGGTCCAGCTGAGTGTCTGTGGCGGGGACACATTTACATTCACTGCGACACACACGCAGACAACCTGGTTTCTGAATATAAATCAGCGCTTCCTTTAGCACATACCAAATGTCCATTAGGGCAAGGATCAGCTCAATCAGCGCAAAATAATCAATTCATGCATCACGTACCACACCACAGAAAACATGGGTGTTTGGTCGCCTTATCAGGGGTCATGGGCACTCCTTTGAAGCTAGAGCTAAATTCCTTGGTGCACAGCTCCAGTCCCTTGACTGTGGTCTGTGTTGGTGACTTTGTTTAAATTGGCTGTGCCCTGAGTGTCAGTCAAATAAAAATATGATAATCATTTGCAGTGCATGTAGAAATACCAGAAATGTCCTCAAGTCATATTATCATAGAATATAAATTAAATAAATTTTGAATTATCAAACCCTACATATCAGTATATTTCCATTGTTGACATGCTTGTCAACAATGTCCAAAATTAACACACTTAATATGCGACAAGATTTTTAATTTGCCGAGTTAATGCCAATGCACTATTCACCACATGGTGACTGAATGTTTGGAGTCGGGCTGGAAAATTAATCGGAATAATCATGATTAATCGGTTATTGAAATAAGCTAATTAGTAATCGATTGATTGTTTACTGGAATATAGAAACTAAAACATGCCTGTAGCTGACAGAGCTACAATTACTGCTCTAGTTACACTAATGCCGAGCAAACACTCAACACTTTTTTCTTAGCCTTTTTCACTCCCTATTTTCCAGTCGTGTGAGAATTTTTCGACCCGGCCGATATGGAGCTCTTTCTGTAAAATTGACAGATTTGGGGATTAAAGTCATCCGGCCCCAGGCCGGATTTCCAGCTCGTAGTATTTGCCCATGGGCAGAAAAAAATCACAGTGCTGAAGTTTCACACGGAAGGTCACCTTGCACTATTTAAGGCTCCATTCAATGGAGAGACGCGTAAACAGTCAAAAAATACTATACAATATAAAATTAAACTTTGTGTTTGGAGAGAAGGACAATAGAGAGAATGGAATTTTTGGAGTGGGCACAATGCAGTTCATGAACTCTGGGGAAGATGTTCCGACCAAAGATAAAGGTCTCAAAAATAAATGGCACTGGGCATGGCTCAAGGAGACAGGACGAGAAGGCAAGCCACTTAGCAGCTGGTGTATGAAGTTAGGTGAACCAGGCGCTTGCTTCTGCACACTGTGCTCCAGGAACACTTAGCAGCAAAACTGGATATCAAAAGAAATGTGGTACATGCAAGTGGTAGATATAGATGCATTTTTGCCATCTTCTGGACATTTTTGGTATTGGATTTTCAAAAGTCAAATTTGGTCTTCAATCATTCATGCATTCTTTGATCCCATGTGAGCTGTAGCTGTGTGCAATGATTGAAAATATCGCACAGTGTATGCCCGGCTTTAGAGCAGTTATTATGCCAAGATTGTAAAAAGTAGGGATGCACGATATTGGAATTTTGGCCGATATCCGATATGCCGATATTTTAAAACTCATGTAGCCGATAACCGATATCGATACTGATGTTAAAGCTGGACAAAAATAAGTAGTCATTGAAAATAGCAGTTTTGTTATCCATTTCTGACACTTTGAAAAATAATATACTCAAATATATTTTCATATGCTGATATCAAATTGATTTTTAAAAACGCGGTATCGATCTATTTTACTTTCAAAATCTCGGGAAATGTCATCGTTCTGTTACAAACTCTTGATATTTTGCAAATTCTTGTGAGATTTTGTTAGTAAAATAGACCGATACCATGTCAATATATCAACATATGAAAATATGGCAAAATTTCGTGAGTTTTCGGGGGATTTCGTAGCATAACGATGACATATAGCAATATTTCATTAGTAAAAAAGATTGATATGGTGTTTTTAAATGGCAATATATCAGCATATGAAGATATTGTGATATTTTAATGTATTAATATCTTTTCCCTCATCTTTAGAAGTTTTTAAGTCTGTAAAAAAGAAGTTTTTGAGGAAGAAGAAGAAGTAGTATAGTAGTTTTTTTTTTTTTTTTTTTGACTTTAGAAACTCAGAAGCTGATCAAATATCGGGTTAAATATCGGTGGGGTGGCCGATGTCCGATATTCAGTTTTAAGGCCGATACCGATAGGGGGCCGATTATATCGTGCATCCCTAGTAAAAAGGTATATAAACATTTTGTGTTTAAGATTTAAAAATACCTTTGTCAATGTTCTCTATTCAGAACTCCTCACATGGTTTCATTTAATAAAAAGTATTTTTTAAGTTATCTGTGGCCATCAGATAATTAATTAATTGAAAAAATAATGGATCTATTAGCAAAATAATCCTTAGTTGCAGCCCTAGTTTAGATAATAGTTGCACATCAGTGATGTCCTTTCATCTTTTATTTTGGTAAGTCTCCCCTCTGTACCTTTGTTCCTCTGCTTTCTGTTCCTCACCCATCAATGGAGAGATGCACGTACAGAGAGCACTCCCCCAACATCCCGTCATTTAACAACAACTCAGCTGCTAGGTAGTTAATGCTAGGTATATAGTTAGAGTAACCAAGCCTTCTAAAAAAAACAACATAACAATGAGGGGGAGTGAGTGCCTGGGGTCCTTTGCCGCATGTCTCTCCCCCTCTCTCATACCGCCTTTTCTGTCAGCATACTGTTAAAAAAAAACGAGCCACTAGTGCGGTAAAAACTCAAAAAATAAATAAATAAGATTTAAATAGTTTTGTTTTTTTGAATGGTTTTATTTACAGCCACTTTATCAAGTAAAAGCATTTTGCATTTGCACTTTTTTGAATGAAATTCTAAAACAAAACTTGATTTGATAAAACTACTTTACCTTTTACTGGTACTTTTAGTAAATATGTTCCATAGAAATATAAGAGCAAACATTTGTTGTTTCCTGGCCGGTAAAAAATATGCTTGGTTGCTTAAAAAAAAAAAAAATTTCCTAGTCATCTTGGCCAGTGAGTCAAAGGGTTAATTTCGGACCCTCTTGACTAGCTCCATCGCTGTTTCTGTTTCAGCACACCTGAATCAAATTAGGGCTCCTCCTCTTCAATCAAGGGCTGCAGAAGCCTGTTGATCATCCATTCTTTTCTGGTGTGATGCAACATGGAAAGACCTAAAACATGCAGGACAGAGGTCCCAGAGGAACAGGTTTTGGAACCACTGGTCAGGTTTAGAATTTGGATAAATTATGACCCTCGATAAAACCAGGACGAATCTAAGCAAATTGCAAGCTGTTTATCAGTCATATGTTGGCAGAATATCGACTAAATCATTGACTGCAGGGTTCTTGCAAGCCTATTTCAGTATAAGGAAGCATTACTCAAAAAAAAAGAAGTCATTTATGCTGAAAATTAGGCTAATTAATAATGAGCGTAAAGTCCCTTTAACTGACATCTGGGCTTCCTCCCCAACATATTACAGCACAGATGCTGGTTATGCAAAAACGTTTAGAATTACAATGGAATTATGCTGATATCTTAACTTTTATTGAGCGTAACGGCTACAGAAATTGTTTTTTAATAATTGACCTTATTTGCATGTATACATGACCAAAGCACTGAAATCATTAACCCTGCACCTTTAAGACGGTCATCGACTCACTGAGGCAGGTGAACACGCTACAGCCCACCCACAATGCTCATAAAATATTCTGCTGAGAAACACGGGCTGTTAGGAGGCACAAATGTTACTCTCATGGGTAGGATTTTACTAAACCTTGACACATGTTCAGATAGGTATTGTATTTCTTTTAATAGAAAGAAATACAATGATTATCTTGTATTGCAAGATACTGGATACTATCAACCTTGACTTCTCCAGAGGATACTTGTAAAAGAAGTCTGAGCACATGAGAATTTGTCCATGTTTAAAGTTGGACATACAGCTTTTGGTCTGATTCTGTAGATTTTTTTTTTTTTTTTTCCTGGAGCTGCACCCAAGCCTACCTGCTGCTTTAGCTGTTGTAGGTTGGTTATTTCCAAATGGCCTTGGATATCTAAAACACTATTTTGCTGCATCAATCTTGAAGGATTGATTCCATGACCAAGTAAGTTTGGTTGGGACCGCCATGTGGTTGAATTTTCAATCTCTCTGGTTTAAATATAATCTTTACTACCAGTCATAACATTGTTAGCATCTTAAACATTGATACTAGCTGGGTGGCCTCTGTCCACCTGCCTTTGTTTCCAAAATCACGTCAATCTTCAATATGTGTTTGACTCAAAACATATCAGTTATCTTTTCATGCAGTGATTTATGGCTCCAGAAGAAGTTGGTAATGGTTTGGATCTAAATGTGTAGGAAATATTTAGATGGACCACAAGCAAGATCCACAGGTTTCACTGATAACGGCACATTCTGGGGAAGCTGTTTCTAAGTAAAGGAATAATTGTTTACTTATTTTCAGAACCAATGAGGTGTTGACAAATAGAAATGTAAGAATCTATAGAAGGAACGCTATTATCTACATGGGATGTCTGAATGTTATCAATATTGTAAGAGGGTGAGTTAGAGGGGGACTTTGAAAAGATAACAGGTAGGCTCAGGGGAGTGCAGAAAAGTCAACCAAGAAGAAATGTTTCCAGCATTTGGTTGGTGTGAAATGTAAATTCCATCATCCTGTTTAATCCCTCTGTAGTGAAGCAAAGTTTTCATGTTGATACAGAGTTGCTGGGTTTGAATCCCTGCATTAGCAGGGATTAAAACTCCGGCAAGTCTGTGCTCCCCTGAAAGGAGCAGCCATGAATCACATCTTCATGTTTTGTTTTTTCAAAACTTTTTCTAAACTAAATGTGTTTAGTTTAGTTTTGTTGCCACATTTGCTCCTTAATATAATTTAGATGAGACCACTCGGGGTGGAAAGATGATGAAATGTTTTAAATGCTGTTCTTGTCGGTCTTTCATTATATTTTCTGAAGCCTGTAAATCTGTAAAGGTTAAAACTTTGCAAATACTCAGACATCAGATATTGACTTGTTTCCAGATTATCTGATTGTTAAAAAGGAGTCTGATCTCTCAAATAATTGTCTGAATCTGGCTATTGGTTTAAATGCACCGTTTTTAGTGTTTCTACAGCTTAGAAATGAATGTTCAGTAACCTGAAAGCTTGTAAGTGGTGGCTTTTTTTCTCCCCCGTACTCTTCCTTTCAAACAGAACGTGGTAATTACTAAGAACGAACTTTGAAAAGTTTCAACACACACAGCAAGCCCTGCAGCCGCGAAGCACATGCTCCCACTGATTTTTCTCTAAATCATGGAGTCAAGTTATTTCTGTAAAGACCATGCAGAGAGCGGACAGCTGCTGGTATTAAAGTTTAAAATTTGTCCTCAAAATTCATCATCAGCAATGTTTTCTTAATCGGGTTTCTTAAGGTTAACCTTTCTAATGTCAAATTTGACCAGTTCTGCAGGATTCCAAACTCCGAAGACAGTTAAAGTGGGTTTTCTTTATGAACACTTCCACTGTCAGAATAAACTCTGTGTTTACATTGAATTGTCTTTTTAGTACAGTAAAGGTAATAAGTTAGGTGCTGTCCAGCAGCTATTCATTTAATATGATGAATTGGCTTTTCAGGCATGAAGGACAAGCTTGGTGTGTGTTCGGAAAATGGTTATTAGTCCAGACAAACAAGTTATGTCACATTGTTCAGACAGAAGGTAGAAAGAATCACATTAAAGCCCAAAACTGTCAAATCAGACATTGTCCTTTTTGTAATGGTCAGCAGCACATTTAATCAACAACCTAATATCCCTGCCAACTGTGGTGCTGATATATAAAGTCGACGTGCTCCTTTTTCGAGTTGTTTTAGTCATTTGTGGGGCAACGAAATGCCATCTGCCAGCTTAGCTCTTCCTCTCATGGTAAAAACACGTCGTCTCCCCTGACAGCCGCTAATCGGCTTAACAAAAGTGGTGATGTAGCGTTTGTGCAACTGTGTCTCTAAATAAAGCCGCTGCCTTTCAGTAAAAAAAAGTCATTGATTATTTGAATAGTTATTGCTTGCAGCTAATAAAAGGTATATTCAGTTGCTCAGAAAACTGAAATATTAATAGCTTTTTAAATCAGAAATGAGTGCCTACTGAAAATGAGTTTTACAGGGACCTATAATATCCATTCAATACTTGGTTGGAGCTCCTTTTGCATGAATTGCTATACCAATCCACTGCGGTGTGGAGGCGTTCTTCTTGTGGCACTGCTGAAATTTGAAGGAAATGTTTTGTTTGTCCATGTTGTTGGGTCTGATGTCTTGTCTAGGATGGTTGTCTCCAACTCCCATCCTTAGGACCAGCTGTCCTATATATTGGCGATACAGACATCTGCAGCTCTTGATGGCGGCTGAGAAGGTCCCATGATTTGATTCAGAGCCAGGTCACTGAGGATAACAGTTGAACCTCCTGTCTCCTGAATACATCCTTTTAATTTCTTCCTGTCTGTTCAATGATCTACGCTTCAAATCCTTCAACCATTTGTTTCCTACTGTTCCTTCAACTCTGGCACTGGGCTGTTGCAGCTCATCTTCCTGGTACAAGAAGTCAGTGACTGACTGGTGTCTTTCAAGTTTACAAACCATCAAACCTTTTTTCATATTGTCCTCATGATTTCTGAATTTAAAATCCATTTCATGTCCTCTATATTTTACTTTTCTAAGCTGCAAGCCTTAACCATAAGAATGATGGGTCTCATTTATAGATTTATTTGAGATAACTCATTTATTTGAGTGATCAATCTTAAATTGGTCTGATTTTAAGTGGGGTTTTTTTTTTCGAAGCTGAAAGATTGTTTTAGCTACAGATAATCAAAACCTTTTTGCCAAAACTGCAATCATTGTATAGCCATATAATATTGGAAATGCAATGTCTTCCACATCCCCTAATATTAACTGTAAGGTACCAACTGACTTGGAGTCTGTTGTGGTTTGTTGAAATTTGAAGATGATAAAAATACTGTTACTCCTTTCTCTCTAGTCGATTTCTTTGGAAGTAAACTTGCTTTTACCTCCATAGAGGCTTATGTATGAGTATCATTTTAATCTAGATATCTGTGTGGTTTCTGTCCCCTAATGTGTCCTTTTTTCTTCACAGCGATGTTACGAGCACAAACAATACAGAAATGGGCTCAAGTTCTGCAAACAGATCCTGTCCAACCCCAAATTTGCAGAACATGGAGGTAAGAGAATAATATTGACTGGTCAATGAGTCTTCCCTCTCTGTCACCGTTATCCTCATGGTTTGCTCTATGGGGTTTTCTCGCAACAGAGACATTGGCCATGAAAGGTTTGACCCTGAACTGTCTGGGGAAGAAGGAAGAGGCCTACGAACTGGTGAGAAGAGGCCTCCGCAACGACCTCAAAAGCCACGTCTGTATCCTTACTCACGGCATGCCGTGGAGACATGTTCTATCTTTACACTGAAAGGGCGTGTTGCATAACGGAACCTGGACAGGCTGCCGTTTGGTTGAAGAGATCGTTTTGCAGCACATTCCATCGATACAGCTCGGTTTCTGCCGCTTCTTCCTCTCTGAGGAATGAAATCTGTGAACTCTTCCTGCTGATAACGTCTAGCTCAGTGACATAGCGATATCTCTGTAGCTTTACTTTGCCCTTATCTGGAGTAAGAAGCTGAATGTGTAGCAAAAGGGCTGTCTGATTATGAATCACATAAGAACTTTCAAAAAGAAGAAGCTGATCAACAATTCCCTTTATTCACTAATCTGTTTCAGAGATTTTGTGGTGATTTAATGGAATTTCTCCACCTTTCTCTATCACTCCAGCGGGGTTTTGTTTTAAAGGTGCCGTAGGAGATCTTTTCTCTCACATTTTTTGCCATGTGGCTTTTAAGATCTCCCCACAGCTGCGTATCAAGCGATTTAAACAGAAGGTCTGCAGTGTGAAATCAATGAGTAACGTACACCCATCTCAAAACACGATCCGTGGACCACTAATTGTTCCTGACACATCAATCAGGTGCTTCTCCCTCCCCCCTGTGCGCGTAACCTGACACATGAACAAATCGACCTCCCAATGCTCGTGCTGGCGCGAGGACCAGTGCCGTCATGTTACCTAGTTCTAAGCCATGGTCGGTCTGCGAGTTATTCAGATCAGTCTGAAATATTACTTGAAGTTACAACCGTCACTGCCTGCTTACGTTCACTGAGATGTTGAACAATCTTACCGCAGACGCAGAAGAGGACGTCATGGCTGAAAGCTAACCACGGTTATGTTGCTGTTAGCTTGTGTCACGAGTGCTCTTGGCTTGTTTCCTTCTCGATTTGGGAAACATCCGATCACCTTGACAGACAGCATGCACGTTCTTCTGTTTTGAAGGCGTGGTTTCGAGGGGTGATCTGAAGGGAGAGGCATGGTTGTGTGTTTTCAAAAATTTTGTTTGCTGGAACTGTTTTTCCAAGATGTCTTACAGCACCTTTAAAGTATAAAATGGTTTAATCCAACCTACTATATACATGTAATTTGCCAAAGTTGTTGGATATAAATGTTAATGTTAAAGAAGTCAGAAGGACACATTTGTATGATGTGAGATGAGTGATCCTAGAACTGCCTGTAGTCTGGAAAACTCATGAAGTTATAAAGTATGCTAAAGTAAAGCTAAATCTTCCTTTGTTCATTTTCTGCCACCTTTATTAGTTTCTTTTGTAAAAGTTTAGTGATCGGAGCCCAAAACGGTGCTGCTACGGTGGTGATTAAAATGCTTTGCTTTGACAGGCCTCTATTGACCCATTATCCTGACCATTTGTTCAGTGGTCTCGCATAGTTTGGATGGACAGTGTGTACTCTTTCCTTAACACTCCCCTGCATCCCAGGCTGGCACGTTTACGGCTTACTGCAGCGCTCGGACAAGAAGTACGACGAGGCCATCAAGTGTTACCGCAATGCTTTAAAGTGGGATAAGGACAACCTGCAGATCCTTCGAGACCTGTCGCTGCTGCAGATCCAGATGAGAGACCTTGAGGGATACAGGGTGAGGCTCCAGTCACTTGTTTCTTGGTGATTTAAAGCTTGAGGCCACAGGAAATCCTCTGAAGTCCTGCAGCCTGTGGTGGAAAAAAAAAAGTTAGACCTTTTGCTAGGGGAAAGATGGGAAAAAAAAAAAAAAGATCTCCATTGTTAGTGAGGAAACAACATTTGGGAGTACACACAGTTTGGTTAGCCCCCACCCCCTGCCTCAGGCCCTGATCTGTGGAGGGAAGCAGACGAGTATCAGAGCTGTTGTCACATTAACTCTCCTGGGATGAACATCTAGCAGGAAAATGAAATGCTGAGATAAAGGTTGAGTTAAAAGAATAAAAAAAATGTGAGTGAAACGGTTAAAATTCGGAGTAAGGGTCACAGAAAGCATTTGTTAGCTCTGACTGAGCCAGCTACCAATATCCCAATATCATTACCCAGCAAAGACAACCTGCTGTCTACACAGTGGCCTTCAGCCTTTTCTTTGTCCCTGCTCTTCTCCGCCACCACACATCAAACAACTGTATACTTCAGACCTCCAAACTGAGATCCCACACATTGTTTGAAGCACAAACCAATATCTTGTTTTGTTTCCATAGGAGACGAGGTACCAGCTCCTGCAGCTGCGCCCGGCCCAGAGGGCCTCATGGATTGGTTATGCCATCGCCTATCACCTTCTGGAAGATTATGAAATGGCTGCAAAAATCATCGAAGAGTTCAGAAAAACACAGCAGGTTAGATACAATAAAAGCTTTTGGAATGGAGGCAATATCAGAACCAGGAGCTGCTGCTCTATGATCAGTAAAGGGTTCAACGTTGATTTACTTACCAGTTGTTTCTCTTTAGCTACCAGTTTACCGCTGAATTCAGTGCTCAACTGTGGAGAGGTGATAAGATTAGTCTGCTTCCTGCTTTTATGCCCTCAGTGGAGCACAACCAGCAGCTGCAGTCATAAACGGGGCTTAATTCAGTGTTTCCTGAGCGGTTGGAAAGCTGCCAGCAGGTTTTTTTGTTTTCATTTGTATCAGTGGGTCATATAGGTGTATTTCCTGCATGTTTCTGTCCAGACTTCTCCAGACAAAGTGGACTATGAGTATAGCGAGTTGCTGCTGTACCAGAACCAGGTTTTGAGGGAAGCAGGTCTGTACAAAGAGGCCCTGGATCATCTGTCCAACTATGAGAAGCAGATCTGCGATAAACTGGCAGTGGAGGAGACGCGAGGTGAGTCGCTTTAACTCTCCTCCAACTTGACCACTAGCTGCCAGTAGGGCTGCAACAACGAATCGATAAAATCGATAAAAATCGACTTTTAAAAGCGTTGGCAACGAATTTCATCATCGATTAGTTGTGTCGCGCGATTATTACGTCATCCGCCGCGCCGTCATCACTGCCTCTTGACTGAAAGAGGAAGAAAAAAAAATATGGCAGAGCGAGCCAGCGCCGCAGGCGCAGTGTTGCCAACTCAGCGACTTTTCAGACCCCTCCAGCGACTATTTTTCAAAAAGCGACTAGCGACAAATCTGGCGACTTTTTTCGGTGTCACTGGCGGCTTTTGGAGACTCTTAGTGAAAGCATGTATCGTTCCTATTCTGCCGTGGGGCGCCTCCCCCACCCCAACCGCGTTTTCCCGCAGAAGTCCTTCTCAGCGCTGGAGTCAGAGCCAGCGTCCAGACTGCAAATGAAGCGCGCATGCACCGGGATTGACGGCGCAAATTGATCACAATAATTAAAATAGCCTGCCCTTTGTAAAGCGAAAAAAGTGATAACATGCAACTTTTTTCAAAAGAAATGAACATGGCACGGAACCACCATGTTTGTTTGGTTTTAAAGTGGGGAAACGTAACGTTAGTTTCTCAGGTAATAATAATATTAAATCCAATTTTGTACCGCACTTTTCATTAAGAAAAATCTCAAAGTGCTACACAGTGCAAAAAATCAAAGATAAAAATCAACCATAAAAATCATGTGGTCAATAAAATCAAAGATAAAAATAAACAACATAAAAATCATGTGGAGGCAGAATAGGCTTGCTTAAATAAAAAAGTCTTCAAGCCTCTTTTAAAATCATTCAATGGTTGTGGAGCTCTCAGATGATCTGGGAGAGAGTTCCAGAGACGGGGGGCAGCGACAGCGAAGGCCCGATCTCCCATGGACCTTAATCTGGAGCGAGGAAGGTGAAGGAAGTTGCAGTCTTGTGATCGAAGAGATCTGGTGGATGAATGTGGAGTGAGAAGGTCCTTCAGATAATCCGGTGAGGATCCGTTTAAACACTGATGGGTGATGAGCGCGATTTTGTATTGAACTCTGCAGGTGATGGGAAGCCAGTGAAGGTCATGCAGAATAGGTGTAATATGGGCAAATTTGCGGGCCCTCAAGAGAATCCTGGCTGCGCTGTTTTGAATGTATTGGAGCTTCTGAAGATGTTTTTTATGGATTCCAACTAACAGAGAGTTGCAGTAGTCTAACCTGGAGGAGACAAATGCATGAACGAGAGTCTCAGCATCAGAAAAAGAAAGGAACGGACAAATTTTGGAGATATTACGAAGATGAAGGAAACAGATTTTAGACAGATGCTTAATGTGATTTTCAAAAGTAAATTGAGAATCCATTCTAACTCCAAGATTTGTAACTATGGTGGAAAATGGGATGTCTTGTCCAGAAAAGGAAACAGTCGTCATAGTTGAAGATTGAACCTGGTGAGGTGTTCCGATCAGCATGGCCTCAGATTTGGAGCAGTTCAACTGAAGGAAATTCTGAGTCATCCACTTCCTTATCTCCTCCAGGCAGGTAGTGAAAGCATTAAGTGAAGATGGTGATGATGCTCCAGTTCTAATATAGAGTTGTATATCGTCGGCGTAGCAGTGAAAGGAGATGTTATATCGATTTATGATTTGACCCAAAGGCAGCATGTAAAGGGAAAACAGCAGGGGCCCTAATACTGACCCCTGTGGGACACCACAGGAGACAGAGACAGCCTGGGACTTGGCCTTGCCGAGGCTAACACATTCCAGCCGATTGGAGAGAAAAGATTTAAACCAGTCCAGAACGGTGTCACAGAGACCGACCTCCACATGAAGACGGTGTAGTAGGATGTTATGGTCCACAGTGTCAAAGGCTGCAGTTAGATCAAGGAGAACAAGGAGAGATGTAGACCCAGCATCAGCTGCCATGTAGATGTCATTAGTAACTCTCAGCAAAGCGGTCTCAGTGCTGTGAGCAGAACGAAACCCAGACTGAAATTTCTCGTACAGGGAGTTTTGTTCTAGATGAAGCTGCAGCTGAGCGGCAACAGCTTTTTCCAGCACTTTTGACAGAAAAGGAAGATGTGAAATTGGGCGGTAATTGGAAAGAATATCTGGATCCAGGGTAGATTTCTTTAGAAGAGGTTTAATGATGGCTGTTTTAAGAGGCAATGGAACATGACCAGATTTCAGTGATTTGTTTATTATTTGTGTGATTAACGGACTTATTGCGGCATGATTAGATTTTATGAGTGATGAGGGGCAGGGATCCAGGGCACAGGATGAAGGCTTCATTTTCTTGAGGATGTTCTCCACTTCACTCTTTGCAACTTCATCAAAGCAGCTCATGGACCCATGGTGTACAAGGGTAGATGGCAGCCGAAGATCAGGAAGGCTGTGGAGCTGAGATCTAATAGAATTTACTTTGTTTTTGAAAAATGAGAGAAACAGATTGCATTTTTCAGTCGAATCCTCATCCTCAGTTTGTTGATTGGGATGAAGGAGATGTTTTATTGTCGAGAAAAGCTGTTTGGAATTTCCCGGACAGCTGTTGATAATGTTGGAATAATACTTAGACCGTGCTTCCTTAAGAGAAAAGGCATACGCTTTCTGATGTTCCTTATATGCCTGCTTGTGTACAGAGAGACCTGATTTTTTTACACGTCTCTCGATAGCACGTCCAACAGCTTTCATGTTCCGCAGCTCATCGGTGTACCAAGGAGCTGAGCGGCAGAATGACACCAGCCTCGACTTCAGTGGAGCATGGAGCTCCAGAAGCTCCTGGAGAGATTGATTGTAGTAATCCACAGAGTCAGTTACAGAAGAATGATTGACAGCAGTCAAGGAATGAAAAGCAGAAGACAAAGCCCCAGGGGAGATATTTTTCAAATCACGGAACTGAATAAGACGTTTAGATTTTGGAGCAGACAAAGTTGAAGGCACTTCTAGAGAAATGATACTGTGGTCCGAGACGCCCAGGTCATATACAGATAAGTTATTGATAGTTACAGTGTCTGTAATCACCAGGTCCAGAGTATGCCCCCTATTGTGTGTAGGGGCATCAACAAACTGAGTTAGATTTAGTGAGTCCAGAAGAGACTTAAAATCTGCTGCCAGAGGGGAGGAAAAATTATCAAAATGTATATTGAAATCTCCAAGAATAATATTTTTCACAGAACGGGCACAGAAAAAAGTTAGGAGGTCATGTATCTCTGAATTAAATGAAACATGTTGTTTTGGAGGCCGATAAAGCAATGCTATATTCATCTGGAGTGGGGCTTTGAGATTGAAGGCCAAGCATTCAAAAGAAGAAAAGTCCTGAAGAGCCAGATCGGACAATTTTAAATCACTGCGGTAAATTACTGCCAGACCACCACCTCGCCCCTTGCGGCGAGCTCTCTGCAGATAGCTGTATCCAGGGGGACAAGCTTCATTCAGCGAACTGTACACATCCGGTGGGTGCCATGTTTCAGTAAGGCACATAAGGTCCACATTTTTCTCCAGAATATGGTCATGAATAAGGCAGGATTTGTTGGTCAGTGATTGAACATTAAAAAGTTCTATTTTAATACTGGTTGAAGTGGAAGCCTTATGGAGAGGTTTTAGCAGACTGAAATCCACTCCACGTTTTCCTTGCCCCTTCATGCATTGAGTTCTTCCAGCCATATCAGGGAGCACAGACGCTGCATTCTGATGACGAAAGCGTTGCGCGACACGTCTGGTAGACCAGAAGGAAGCCATAGGGCCAGATCCAGCCTGCTGATGAAAAACAGTTCTCCTCCGAGAGCCTCTATGGACATAGCGGGGTCTACGCAGAAGACCCAGTCGTTTTAAGATGGAAACACAGGGTGGGATGGAGTAGTTGTTAAGTCCAATCAGCTGGGAGGCGGAATAGGTCAACATCGACGAGCCGGTCAAGCCTGGAGAAGCTAGCATGGAGCTAACCGCTAACAGCAGACCCACGGCTCCAAAACAGACATTCAGGAAACAGAGCGATGTAATCCACAGCATAACTTGCAGACTAGCACAGGAGAAAATCCAGCGAGAAATGACGACGGTTGATAACGACAACTTTTTCCGTGGAGAAGCGGCGAAGCGGTGGAGAAGCGGCGAACATTCAACGCCAGCGTCCTCTCCCTCCGTCCTCCCGCTGCTCTGCTCATGGGTCAGTAATGTTCACTCCCTCATTCTTGGGGTTAGGCTCTTTGGTAGCTCATCGGATGCTTTCCTTACCGTGTTAGGTTACAGACAGTGATAAGGTTGGCTACTTATTTTACTTTTAATTTCATTTGAATTAGCTTAAGCAGCGTTTACATTTACTTTATAAATTAATTAACTTGCAAATTATGAAGGCAAGGCTTTTAAAGTTTAAATCTTCTGGCAAAGATAAAGTAAAGAAGATCCTGCAATTTATGGAATTAAAGCAGAATAAAATCCAGCAAGATCAGTAATATGTCAATTAATTATATGCCACATTCCCATGAAAATATCTGTCTTTGGAGGATGTGTTTTTTAACACCCCTAGTTCTCTCATTTTTATTCCAAATACAATTTATAATTTGAATCACAGGGCTATTTTTATCTCTATGGTTCAGTATTTTCTCAAGTAGCAACTTTAACTGTTATATTTCCTGTCTTAAAAGGCAGAACTCTTCTAGTCTAAAAAAACTCATTTGTTGAAATGGGGGGGCCTATTGTTTGAACCCCTTAGGGGCTTTTAAAAACAAAAATGTCTTTTTTTGCGCTTTATGAAACAAAGTACCCTATATTTTGTGGATGTACAGCTACATTTCTCATGTAAGTTTGCGTAGTTTTAACACAAACATTTATTTTTCATATTGCACCAGTACAGTTAATGAGCAACCTGTACTTGTGTGCTTGTTTGTTCTGTCTAAAATGTTTATTTTGGAATAAAGAGGTTAATATAAAAAATATTTTTTGTCCGATTCATCGATTAATCGAAAAAATAATCGTCCGATTCATCGATTTTTAAAATAATCGTTAGTTGCAGCCCTAGCTGCCAGTAATCATACCTTCAGTCTGCAGCAGACATGTGTGTCTAAGTTGAGACATGGAACAGATATACTCCATGGTGTGTCATGGTGGTGGTGGCATCATGCTTTGGGGATGTATTTGTTTGTTTAAATAACAAAAGAATATCAAGTTAGTTGTATTTCTTCCTGTTCACACTGCACCTTTAATAGCTGACCAACAGCTGCTAGTTTTTCCTTCATAAACTCAACAGAATTTGCAAACATATATAGCAAGCCATTTTCTTTTACATTTAATTAAAGCTGCAGCTATCTCTAATTTCTAGCAGGAAATTTGAAATTAAGTCTAGTATATAGAGCTAGGAACAGACAATTTTTGTAATCTGTTAAATAACTCCTCATTGAATCAAGGTATCAGATTAAAATCCTGCTTTAAGACACGCACCTGTTCTCATGCCCCACATATCCCATAGACTGTAACGTCAGTTTGTATGCCTTAAAAATCGTGACCATTTCTTTTTCCACTCTGATACCAATTGTTTGACCAACATCCAACTGGATGACTGTTGCTTCTGAATATCTACAAAATCCATCTTGAAAATAACACTTTGATTGCTGGATTGGACTCATTTAACATGGATTTGTTGGCTTCACGTTCGCTGAACATTGATCCAAAGTACATTCAGAAAAATAGGATGCATACTTGCAGATGCATCGGTGCTGTGCTACAGAGGTGTCACTTTGCTCATCAAATGATGTTTTAGTGATAAAGGAATTGAATAAAAAAGCACTTTTTAAGATATTTTCAGTAAAAACTGTATTTATTTTTGTAACACAGCTGTCATTACATCTGGAAAATATAATACACTTTTATTATAGTTAGACTTGGACGTAGACAGATTATTTGTCATTTTGTTTACACAAGTGTAAAAGAAAAAGAGATTTCGTTTGGAAAAGCTCTCTGGACAATTTAATCTTTTTAAAAGTGTCGCCTTGAGAAATAGTAAAAAATTATACATAAAAACAGTAATATAAACATAAGAATGTAAATTTACTGTTCTAACATAATTTATTTATTTTTTAAATGATAAAATATAATAAATTATATTATGTAAAGATCCTCTTGATAAAAGAGAAAATTAACATTTTAACAATATGGCTGCTTATCAATTCAATTCATTAATTGTTAATTGTTATTAGTTGATAATAAGATCAATCAATTTAAGATGATTCATAAATCGATAACTTTCCTTTAACACAGCTATAGAGCATGGCTTTAAAACTGTCCCCGTATCTGTCTGTAATCATCTGGATAGATGCCCTCTGACATCAACAGGTTGACCTGTATGAATCCTTGGAAGGTAGACATGGGGCTGACATTATCAGCTCTCAGTTTTGGTGTAAATTTTTCCAAATCTGCTTTGGATGGCCTGGATGTTTAATAGAAACCGCTCTAATCCAGGCATGACGTTTTCCAGTCTTAGGAACCTGTAGCCGGGGCTGAAACTGTGGCAGTGGAACACATAAATGAACAGGACACCCCTGATGTCCTGTCCAGGGACACCTTCAGTTGACATGGATGTTTGATTAAATCTAATGCTTAATTATCTGGTATTTGTAAATATTTACTCTGTACTATAATGTGCTTTTGTCTGTTTAATTTTCTCTCTAACATCCTTACAGATCTGTAAGATGTCAGAATCATTCTCCCTTGCAGCGTTTGTGTGGGAGCTTAATAGTGGTGTTCTTGCAGGAGAGTTGCTGTTGAAGTTGGAGCGTCTGGATGAAGCTACTGAGGTCTACAGGCGTCTGCAGGAGAGGAACCCGGAGAACTGGTCCTATTACCATGGCTTGGAGAAAGCCCTAAAGCCAAGTAGGAATCCTGACTCTCATCCATAGAGATCCCCCATCATCTCTGGCTTGGATATCATAAAGTTCACCAAAGTGGTTCCATGACAGACAACCACATTTTGTTTCTCTTATCAGGCAGCGTTGAGGAGAAACTGAAGATCTATGAAGAAACCTGGGAGAAGTTTCCTAAGGGGCTGGTTCCTCGGAGGCTGCCACTCAACTTTCTCTCTGGTAGATTTTATGATGCAATCTAAACGGAAATTGGGATCCGTCTCTCTTTTTACGGATATCCTTTTCTAGATGTAGTGGTTTCTAAATTTTGACAGGAGAAGCATTTAAAGGTTTTCAAATATTTTTGCAGGTGAGAAGTTCAGGGAGTGCCTGGATAGATATCTGAGGATGAACTTTAGTAAAGGCTGCCCGCCTGTCTTCACCACGCTCAAATCATTGTACAGCGACAAAGAAAAGGTGAGATCTCTGCACCAACGGACATTTCTGGGGAGTAAATAGGGAAAGTGGAAGATTTTATAGATTGAAAGAAATGTGATGCAGGTGACATCTTCTACTTTGTCTTTTCTCTTCCCAGGTGGCAATTATAGAGGAATTGGTGGTCAGCTATGAAACATCATTGAAAAGCTGTCGAATGTTTAGCCAGAACGGTGAGTTGGATGGATGGATGACCAGTTTATACATTTTATTCCTCAAATGAGAAGTATCTCAATAATAAACTATGCTTTCACTGCTTCAGATGATGGGAAGGAGGAACCTCCAACCACATTACTCTGGGTGCAGTACTTCCTGGCTCAACACTATGACATGATTGGCCAGCAGACCCTCGCTCTAGAACATATTAACACAGCCATCGAGAGCACACCCACACTCATCGAACTCTTCCTCATCAAAGCCAAGATTTACAAGGTACGAAAACTCCCCACCGCACATCTGGGAGGAGGGCTTTGGCTTTGGCTTGACTGACGCTCCTGTTCCATCATGCAGCATGCTGGGAACATCAGAGAGGCCGCTCAGTGGATGGACGAGGCCCAGGCTCTGGACACAGCTGACAGATTCATCAACTCCAAGTGTGCCAAGTACATGCTGAAGGCTGGCATGATCAAAGAGGCGGAGGAAATGTGCTCCAAGTTCACACGGGTGAGCTGCACCGTGGCGAAGAAGTTTCAGAACAACAAGACTAGCCTGTTTAAGTGACGTTTAATTCAGCAGATCAGTCATGTGTTTGTTTTTCCTTCTCTTTGCTATATTGACAGCTACCGTATTTATGATTATCTGTTATTATGAATACTTAGAGCTTTAATTGGTCATATACATTTTTAATGTTGATTTAGTTTCTACACAAATTGTAAGAGTAGATGTTCACACAGCAGCGCTGCTGAAGCACACATGTTCTGTGCCTCCCCTGAGCTGAGGCCTGCCTGAACCATCCTAGTCAAGGATCAAATGTTTATCTACAAATTTAAATTATGCTGATCTAATCTTGAATCAAAAGGGTTAATTCTTCTAAAGTCTAGATGGCTAAAGGTAGTAGAAAATGTCTCCCAATCTTTAAACGACTAACTGCAACAATACTTCCATAAAAATATTGCCACAGCTGTTAAGTAATTCCCTGAAAAGTGGCACTCAAAAAAAAAAAAAAAATGTATTTCAAATACAAGCTAACTTGCTAAATGTAAGAATTCCTGTTTCTTATTCTGTGCTTTCTGAAAATTTTTTTGCAGAACAAAAATGAGCAAATAGCATATTTTCTGAATTTGAAGTTTTATATGATAGCATCATGCTAACTTTATAGCCAGCCTGTAGCAGCTTTACTTTGGATGCTCTGACTATGAGCACTGATCGGTGGGAAGGCAGGTGTAACGACGATTGTTTTCATTAGGAGTAATATCCAGTGTTTCCTGGAGTAACCCTGTTGTGACATTCGCTCCGGCCTGTGCTTCTGATTTCCCAGGAGGGGGCGTCAGCGGTGGAGAACCTGAACGAGATGCAGTGCATGTGGTTCCAGACTGAATGTGCGCTCGCCTACAAGGGCATGAACAAGTTTGGAGAAGCGCTGAAGAAGTGTCACGAGATAGAGAGGGTGCGTCTTCGCTACTTCTGCATCAAGCACTGTCCCTCTGTTTGGGCTAAAACTGTTTGTGTTTCATTGCTCTGCTCAGCATTTTGTGGAGATCACGGATGACCAGTTCGACTTTCACACCTACTGCATGAGGAAAATGACGCTACGCTCCTACGTGGACCTCCTAAAGCTGGAGGATGTTCTCCGGATGCATCCTTTCTATTACAAGGCTGCTACCACAGCGATCCAGATTTACCTCAGCCTCCATGACAATCCCCTGACTGATGACAGCAAAGAGCTGCAGGCAGACACTGGTCAGTCAGAGGAAATAGTTAAAGTTTTCCTTTTCCCACCTACTGGCCAGTTCTCTTTTGAAGTGACGTCCTCTATAAACTACTTTTGATTCAGTGTCGACTCCTCTTTATTTTTCAGCCAACCTGTCGGACAAAGAACTGAAGAAGCTTAGGAACAAACAGAGAAGAGCTCTGAAGAAGGCCCAGCTGGAGGAAGAGAAGAAGAATGCAGAGAAGGAGAAGCAGCTAAAGAACCAGAAAAAGAAGAAGGAAGATGATGATGAGGAAATCGGAGGGCCCAAGGAGGAGCTCATTCCTGAGAAACTGGTCAAGGTTAGAGATCAGGAAGGGAGCAGATGATCTAAAGCCGATTCATCTGATGTCATTGGGATTCCTGGTTGTCTATGTGTCCCGTTACAGGTTGAAAGTCCACTGGAGGAAGCGGTGAAGTTCCTAACGCCTCTGAAGCACCTGGTTAAAGACAAAATTGAGACGCACCTGTTGGCCTTTGAGATTTACTTCAGGAAAGGTTGGTGCCTAAAGGAGGAAACTCCACCTTTCCTTTTTATTCTTTTTATTTGTTCCTAATCTGTTTTTTCCTCACAGATAAATACCTGTTGATGCTCCAGTCGGTGAAGAGAGCCCTGGCCATTGATCCAGACCACCCTTGGCTTCACCAGTGTCTGGTGCGCTTCTTCAAAGGAGGTAAGGCCCCCTTCCTGATGATGATCTCATGTAATCAGCCTCTCCTTTGTTGAAGTCTCTAACCCATCCTTAACTTGTCTTTATCTGTTAAGTGTCGGAGAGCAAGGAGCTGCCGGAGGTGGTCAGGACAGTGCTGAAGCAGGAGATCACACGGCTGTTTGGAGACAGCAACCCCAAGAGCTTCAACCAGGCCTACCTCAGCAAGCACTCCAACTCCATACCACACCGCCTGGCTGGTGAGCCTCTTCTGCTCCCTGTCATGTTATATTCTTTAGAATATGTGCTCAAAGTACTGGAGTTGAATAAAAAAAAGTTCTGTTAGTGTTTCTACTCGGTAAGACCTGGTTAACTACTCACACACTTTGGGGTCTTTGATCGGCCAATATACAGATATAATAAATCATTTAGCATCAAAGATCTGTGATAGTAATTATGTATAATTTTTACTACTTTTTTTTCTCTACTTTTAACCCAGGTAAAATAAGGCTACACATTATCATTACTATGGGATACATTGGCTAATTTACTAGGATTTTTCTAAAAGTCCATCACAGATTGAAAACTTTGCTTATTTAATGCGAGTTATTTTCTACTAAAGCAACTCTAAAAGGTTTGAAACACCTGAGCTTTGATGAACTTAGGCACGGTGCAGAAGAAATTATTGTTTTACCCTTACAAACACAACATTGCATTGCTTCACACTCTATTCTTCCTGCAGCTGCTAAGATGATGGCGTATCTGGACTCGTCAACGGAAGCTAAAGCAGCAGAACTGGCCACATCACTGGATGAGTCTCTGAACAACAGAACTATTCAGGTATGAATCCAGTACCTTCAAATTAATAATGTAAGTAAGTAGCAACATTGTTTTATCCAGCGTTGCACCATAATGCCTGCTTTTTTAAGTATTTTCATTAAAGGTTCAAAGATGAACTGTTACTGTTTTGCATACAAAATGTTTTATTCCTTAAATCATTTATAAAAAATGGAAGAGCCTTTACTCATAAACGTTGGTTTTTGAATCATGGGTGAATGTATTTGTTAATTCCAGTCCTGTCTCCTCTTCCTATGAAACTCAGACCTGCACAGAAGTCCTGGAGTGTCTTCGGAGCGGCTCGCTGGGAGACTGTAAGGAACACGCGGAGTCATACCGCGTCGAGTGTCACAAGCTTTATCCGTACACGTTAGCTTTCATGCCCCCCGGCTATGAGGAGAACACCAAGATCGCCAACGGAGACGTCTCCACAGAAACCGAGGAGCTTGGAAATGAGATCTGAGTGCTGCAGAAGAGCTGCGGATGAGAAAAGGAATTGGGCCGAGCACAGAGCCTTGTGGTACGCCGGGTAGCCATAAATTCTTTTTTTTTTTTTTTTTTAAGAGCCAGACAAAGAAAGCAAATAGGGGTGTTTGATAATATGGCTCAGCTTAATTTGGTCTGACCTGGCATGGCTTGGCTCTCTCCTGCGTGGGTGAACTTCAGGACTGTGTGTGTGTTTTGAACGCGTGCGTACATATTCGTTGGTTAAGAGGGGAGGGGAAAGAGGAAGATGACGGAGCAAACATTTTACTTTTTTAACAGCCTGCTACCAAGTTTAACTTGAAAATAAGTCATTGCGAAACAGATATAGAAACTGTGATACAAAGACACAGATTGCTGGTTTTGGCCAAGATGTTGAATAAAGCCGCTCGAGTTGGACTCCAACACACAATTATAGCATAATCTGTTCCCATTATTTTAAAAAGAATATCTTAATTTATATGGAAACGGGACACGGCTGTCACTCTATGATGTGGGACTGAGCAGATTTGATCTCTGGTCTGTAACCAGCTGAATAGAAATCATTCACTGAGGACATCAGCTGCTTCAGGCGTATCTGTATCTGCTGTAAAACTCACTTCAGTGTCTGTGGAGAACGGGAGAAAGGCCCAATCCCCGCGGAGACACAGCAACGTGTAAGACGGCTTTCCATCAGAATGTGCTTCCTTCACCCGCTCCGGATTCAACCTGGGAACATGTAACCCTGTCTGTTCTTCTGGAGCACCTTGTAGCACAGAATAAAAACTGTAAAGATTGTGTTGCGCTCTGTTTCAATACACTGCTACTGTGTTGTTGTGTTTTCTACATGGCTATCACAGAGATGGGTAAAACCGAAGCAATACCATAGTCGCCTCCCTGTTTATACGGGACCAGTGTAACAGTGAACGCTTTGCAGGGCTGTTTACACTGATCCTACAGGAAGAGGCCCGTGAGTAGTTGTTGTTACACTTAGAAATGGTTTTATCTGCATGTTGGCTCTCTGTTGAAAATGAAATGAGCATTTTAACATGTCCTTCAGAGGGAGCTTGTGGTTCAGGTGATCCTTGGAACGGTCAGACGTCACTGAGCAAGAAAGTGTGAACATCATGACAGGATTTTACCTCCTCTGTTCCCGACAGCTTCAGGAACTTGTTTTCTTCCCCTTTTTCCTCTCATTTGGGTTCTAATGTGAAAGATGAAATCTGAGGTGGTGATGTATGATATCTCTGGATTTTTGTATTAAAAAAAGAAACAAAAAAAATAGACTTTTTGTGTATGTTTCTCAGTCCCCTCTGTTTATGGCAAAAAGTCAGCTCCTCTGGGTAGGTTTTAACATTTAGACTGAGTGTTGGACGTAAACAGGCAGATTCAGCTTGAATATAAATTGTAACAAAATAGTTCATTTGGCTGATTTCTGGCCTGTTTTACTAAATATTCCCTCATTTTCCACAGACCAAATTATATGCGTAAATAATTTGAATAGTTATTGAAGCACCCAATTTCTGGGTGTCTCTTTAATGAAGCAGTCAACATGGATTGATCTAGTCTAAGGTTGGAAACCCTAAGAGCCCCTATTTGAGAAGTCGTCCTGACAACAAGCAAGAGGAAGTCTGCTCATTTCACACAACGGGAGGCTGAGATTGCTACACGGGTTATCTGTATGTTTATACATAACATTTATTACCAGGATGGAGAAGTAATGCTGGATATCTCAGCTTGTACACAAGTCATGGAAATCTAATTTTTAATGGTACATTGGTTTAGAAAAGTATATGAAAAAAAGTAGCTCACTTTTTTTTTAACAACTTTTTTTTTTTTTTAGATCAGAACATGCATGTTACTAAGACGGTTCACAGGGAAAATATTCAGACTTATAAATATCTCTATAATTTTAGAATTTAAATTAAGCCAATAACATACCATCGTTTTAGTGTTCTCAATGATAGTAACCAAAGCTGCCAACATTCTACCGTTAAAAGCTGTGGTATAGTACTGCTCCAAACAACTTTTAAGTGTTTTGATTTTCTGCTTTAGAAGAGAATTTAAATTTGTCATTACACTTTCACGAATACAAACCAACAAAATATAGTTTGCATTTATCCAGAAGTGCTATACAGGATATAAAGATGTATTTACATGTGTACAGAGACCATGTATGGACTATAAATGGTATAAACAATTAGTTGTGAGGCTATAAATTGTTAGAGGCTATAAAATCAACATTAAAGCTATATACAGATTATAAAGGAAAGTTGGGATATGGATTTTATATATATGTATATATATATACAGGTGCTGGTCATAAAATTAGAATATCATAAAAAAGTAGATTGATTTCAGTAATTCCATTTAAAAAGTGAAACTTGTATATTATATTCATACATTACATACAAACTCATATATTTCAGATGTTTATTTTGTTTAATTTTGATGATTACAAATGACAACAAATGAAAATCTCAAATTCATCATATCAGAAAATTAGAATATTACTGAAGACCAATAAAAACAAAGGATTTATAGAAATGTTGGCCAACTGAAAAGTATGAACATGAAAAGTATGAGCATGTACAGCACTCAGTATTTAGTTGGGCCTCCTTTGGCCTGTATTACTGCAGCAATGCGGCGTGGCATGGAGTCGATCAGTCTGTGGCACTGCTCAGGTGTTATGATAGCCCAGGTTGCTCTAATAGTGGCTTTTAGCTCTTCTGAATTGTTGGGTCTGGTGTATTGCATCTTCTTCTTCACAATACCCCATAGATTTTCTATGGGGTTAAGGTCAGGAGAGTTTGCTGGCCAATTAAGAACAGGGATACCATGGTCCTTCAACCAGGTACTGGTAGCTTTGGCACTGTGTGCAGGTGCCAAGTCCTGTTGGAAAATGAAATCTGCATCTCCAAAAAGTTGGTCAGCTGCAGGAAGCATGAAGTGCTCTAAAACTTCCTGGTATGTGGCTGCGTTGACCCTGGACCTCAGAAAACACAATGGACCAACACCAGCAGATGACATGGCACCTCAAACCATCACTGACTGTGGAAACTTTACACTGGACTTCAAGCAACGTGGATGAAGTGCCTCTCTTCTTTTCCTCCAGACTCTGGGACCTTGATTTCCAAAGGAAATGCAAAATTTACTTTCATCAGAGAACATGACTTTGGACCACTCACCAGCAGTCCAGTCCTGTTTCTCTTTAGCCCAGGCAAGACGCTTCTGACGCTGTCTGTGGTTCAAGAGTGGCTTGACACAAGGAATGCGACAGCAGAAACCCATGTCTTTCATACGTCTGTGTGTGGTGGTTCTTGAAGCACTCACTCCAGCTGCAGTCCACTCTTTGTGAATCTCCCCCACATTTTTGAATGGGTTTTGTTTCACAATCCTCTCCAGGGTGCGGTTATCTCTCTTGCTTGTACACTTTTTTCGACCACATCTTTTCCTTCCCTTCGCCTCTCTATTAATGTGCTTGGACACTGAGCTCTGTGAACAGCCAGCCTCTTTAGCGATGACCTTTTGTGTCTTGCCCTCCTTGTGCAAGGTGTCGATGGTCGTCTTTTGGACAACTGTCAAGTCAGCAGTCTTCCCCATGATTGTGTAGCCTATAGAACTAGACTGAAAGACCATTTAAAGGCTTTTGCAGGTGGTTTGAGTTAATTAGCTGATTAGAGTGTGGCACCAGGGGCCATCAATTTTGAACCTTTTCACAATATTCTAATTTTCTGATATGATGAATTTGAGATTTTCATTTGTTGTCATTTGTAATCATCAAAATTAAACAAAATAAACATCTGAAATATATGAGTTTGTATGTAATGTATGAATATAATATACAAGTTTCACTTTTTAAATGGAATTACTGAAATCAATCTACTTTTTCATGATATTCTAATTTTATGACCAGCACCTGTATATGTATATATATATATATATATATGTATATATATATATATATATATATATATATATATATATATATATATATATATATATATATATATATATATATATTCCATATCCTAACTTGCATGATACTGGAGTTGCTATTTGCTGAACCATAAAAAAAAGGATAAAATGTTAATATTAAATAGAAGAAAACAAGGATGCTCCAATTCATTTTCCTCATGTCTGTTTCTACTTGTTCTTAGCAGATTCATACAGGGATTTATTTTCCCTTGGTCCTAACAGATGGTGGCGCTATTTACCCAGTGGAGCCCCTCATGCACACCATTTTAAGTTGTACAAACATGTCACTCATGTAGAAAAAATTAATGATTTACTTCCAATTTCTTAGCATTTAGGTGGAATATAGAGTTTATATAGGTACTAACAGTCTCATCCTTATTATTGGAGCGTGGCATCCTTGATCTTCCATTTCACAGATTACCTCAGGGAGATAATAGATGCTCACTGAATGAGAAAGGCTCATTCTGTGTAATTTATATGGAGCTGCAGGTTTTAATGTCCTGCTACCTGTTAAAGAAGTCTACACAATTCACCTCCTGACTAATCTTTAAAGAGCAAAGAAAGAAATGGTGTACTGGAACATATTAGGAAGAATGCAGAAAACAACTAATACTTTGAAAGAGAACAAAATATTCAAAGTACTACATTTTGTTGCTGCAATAAAAACTCTTTGCTGTAAGTTGTTTATCACGCAGCAAAGGTTTACAACAACTTTTCTGGTTGTGATGTTTGAGGAATGTTTTTAAAGGTTTAAAACCACAGAGTTTAGGATTGAGGGGGGAAAAACAAGTTGGCTACAGGAAATAATGAAGTTATATTTTGATTTTATTTTTTCTAATTCTAATGAACAAGTTATATGAAAATCAGGCAATAACAGTAACTGACTTAAAGTTAACTTAAAAATATCTCTTAGCCAAATGGTGAGATCCCAAAAGCACATCTATATTTTTTTTTTCTGAAAGCTTTCTTTTTTTATATAAGTTTGCTTTTTTTGCTGCATTTTATTCAGCTCTACATTCTTATTATAAAGAAACTATTTGCATTCGTTCTGTTAAAATGTTAAATGAAGCATTTAACAACGCCGTCTATCGCTTTGCATTGAACATTGTGAACTATTAGTGAGCTATTTAGTATTAAATATGCTCTGTAGATATTGGTCCCTCATATTTTGTCGTTCGATTGCTATTAATATTTCAGTTATTAAGATACATTAAATGGTATGCATATTTTACATTGAGTAAAACTTTATCCTTGCTTTATTAGATTATATCATTTCACATACCATTCAGAAAATTAAACGGTAGACAAATGAATTATATATTTAAATAATTGCTTTAAGGTATTTGTTTTAATATTGTACCTCTAATAACAGAATATGGATGAGAAGAGGTTACTGTTCCACTAATTCTACTGGAACCTGTACATAGGTTATATTTTCCTAGTCAATTGAACAACACTTGTGTCTGCAACTGACTGGGATGATCTAAATGACCTTTTAAGCTTCTTTGAGAATACATGCTTTGATTTGCCCCAAACTAAGGATAAAAAATAAGCATTTCAACACCCTGCTGTTTTTTGCATGTTCTCCCACTTAGAAATCATGGAGGGATCTGAAATTGTCATCGTAGCTGCATGTCTACTGTGTGAGACGTTAAAAAAAAATCCAGAAATTACAATATAAGATTTTTTAAAACTATTTGTATGATACAGCTACAAATAAATGTGTGAACATATGAGAAAATCAAAGTTAATATTTGGTACAGTAGCTTTTGTTTGCAATTCCGGTGTTCAAACGTTTCCTGTAGTTTTTTTTTTTTTTTTTACCAGGTTTGAACACACTGCAGGAGTGATTTTGGCCCACTCCTCCACACAGATCTTCTCTATATCAGTCTGATTTCTGGGCTGTTGCTTAGAAACATGGATTCACTATTGGGTTTAGGTCTGGAGACTGGCTAGGCCACGCCAGAACCTTGATATGCTTCTTCCAGAGCCACTCCTTGGTTATCCTGGCTGTGTGCTTTGGATCATTGTCATGTTGGAAGACCCAACCTCCACCCATCTTCAATGCTCTGAGGGAATGAGGTTGTTCCCCAAAATCTCCCAATACATGTCCCTGGTCACCCTCTGCTTAATACAGTGCAGTCACCCTGTCCCATGTGCAGAAAAACACCCCAAAGCATGATGCTACCACCCCCATGCTTCACAGTAGTGGTGTTCTTGAGATGGTACTCATCAGTTTTCTTCCTCCGTTAGTGGAATTATGACCAAAAAGTTCTATTTTGGTCTGTTCTAACCACATGACTTTT